GCGCCTCAGGTGGCACTTCCCCACCATCCCTCAGAGCCTCCCTGGTGGCTGAAGTCAGCGCACACACTTCTTCATCAGTGTGCAGGTCACAGGAACCGTAGCCACCTCCCTCTCGGGGTCTTTGAGGAACTCCCAAAAGCTCTCTTTGAAAGAAAGAAAGCCAAGGTCTTACACTCACGGTCCAGGGGGCCCCCCATCATGGCAGGCCACAGCTGCCTGCCTTGGCAGGGCCGCCCTCGCCCTGACCCAGCTCTGAGGGGTCAGAAACAGGCATTCACGGCAAGTTGGGGAAATTGGGGAAAGAGAGGAAGAGCCTGTCACAGCAGCCCCAGCCCTCTGCCACTCCACCACAGACCGCCAAACCTGAAGCTGGCTGAGTCTCGGAAGGGAAAGAGCTTCCTCCCAGGTGAGAGTTGGACACGACTTAGTGATTGTACAACAGCAAGACTTAATTATTAAACTTTCTTAAACTTTATTTCTTAGATTTTTTGTTTTTATTTTTTTTGTTGTTGCACCAGGACTTACTTGTGACATGTAGGATCTTAGTTCCCTGACCAGGGTTTGAACCCAGGCCCTCTGCATTGGGAGCTCGGAATCTTAACCGCTGGACCACCAAAGTGAAAGTCACTCAGTCACGTCAGACTGTTTGCCACCCATGGCCCATACAGTCCATGGAATTCTCCAGGCCAGGATACTAGAGTGGGTAACCTTTCCCTTCTCCAGGGGATCTTCTCAACCCAGGGATCAAACCCAGGTCTCCCACATTGCGGGTGAATTCTTTACCAGCTGAGCCACAAGGGAAGCCCAAGAATACTGGAGTGGGTAGCCTATCCCTTTTTCAGGGAATCTTCCTGACCCAGGAATCGAACCAGAACTGAGCTATCAGGGAAGCCCTTGAGAAGTCCCAGTTGTTAATTATTCTAGAGGTTTAAGTATATTAAGAGTGACCAGAAAAGGTCTAAAATCTGCCCAAGATTTCATCCAAGAAGCTTTTCACACAAGAGTCCACAGAGTGGGCTTAACCAGCCAGAGGGAGGAGAATGAGCTTGTGTTCTGCCTGCCCCGCCTCGAGACCGGCTTGCTCAATAATCCGCTTACATTGTGTAGGAGTAGAAGATATTCATTACCTGCTATGAAGGTCAGCTTCTCAGACACTGCCTCCCTGTATAGATTCTTTTGTTCTATTTCACAATCATTTATCTTTCTCTAAACGTAACACAAAGGGAATGCAAACACACACGTTTAGAGAGGATTGCGTTTCTAAGCAGAAATAAACCAGGTTGCCATCTTGCCTTATTAAATTGGGTACTTTACCAAGGGTTTGCCCTGCCGGCAGGGTTTCAGCAGGTGCCTGAATTGTAAGGGAAGCCACTGTAATCAGTAGAAGGTTTCAGGTGGTGACGTCACATCTTTTATTTTGATTCCTTTAGGAAGAGTTCTTTTAAAAGTTTTTTGTAATGACAGAATCCATACTATGTTGCACAATGCTGAACTGAATCAACTTTCTTGAGAGAGCTCTTGATATTTATCTTCAAAGAGATATATCCAGTTACCTGTGTGTTTTTTTTTAAGTCTATCAGAAAATTGAGATGGAATTTTTAAATTTTTTTTGAAATATACTTGATTTACTATGTTGTGTTAGTTTCAGGTGTACAACAAAGTGATTGTTATGCATATATACATGTATTCTTTTATTATGTTCTCTTCCATTATAGGTAATTGCAAGGTATTGAGTATAGTTCCCTGTTCTATACAGTAGGTCCTTGTTGGTTGTCTGTTTTATATATAGTAGTGTGTATATTTTAATCCCAAACTCCTAATTTACCTCTCCCCCATCTCCTTTGGCAACCGTAAGTTTGTTCTATCTATGAGTCTTTTTCTGTTTCGTAAATAAGTTCATTTGTGTCACATTTTAGATATCTATATGAGTGATATCAGGTGATATTTGTCTTTCTCTCTGACTTACTGCACTTATATGATAATTTCTAGGTCTATCCATGGAGCCACAAATGGCATTATTTCATTGTTTTTGTGGCTGAGTAATAGTCCATTGTACATATGTATCACTTCTTCTCTATCCACTCATCTGTCGATGGACATCTAGGTTGTTCCATGTCTTGGCTATCATAATTAGTGCTGCTGCAAAAATAGAGGTGCATATATCTTTTCAAATTATACTTTTGTCCAAATATATGCCCAGGAATAGGATTGCTAGATCATATGACAATTCTATTTTTAGTTTTTTGAAACATCTCCATACTGTTATCTACCAATTGACATTCCCACCAATAGGATAGGAGGGTTCCCTTTTTTCCACAATCTCCCCAGCATTTGTTGTTTGTAGACTTTTTAGTGATGGCCGTTCTGAGTGGTGTGAGGGGGTACATCATTGTAGTTTTGGTTTGCATTTCCCTAGTAATTAGCAGTATTGAGCAAAGTCAGAAAAGTGATGTGACAATAGAAGTAGTGATGAGTGGCCACAAGCCAAGGAATGTGGACAGCCTCTAAAAGCTGGAAAAAACAAAACAAAACAAATTTGCTTCTGTGGAGCCTCCAGTAGGAACCAGCCCTGCTGATGCCTCAGAACTGAGATAATAATAAATGTGTGCTGTTCTGGACTTGCTAAGTGGTCATCTGTTAACAGCAGCAATAGGAAGCAAATACACTCAATAAATGTCATTAGTGGAAGAGAAGTCAGATGAGTAAATTTTCAAAATTCCTCACACTGCAGAGATTTCTTGTGTAAACTGTCTAAAAGCCAAGATAAACCTGTGCTCCGGAGTGCAGTGATAACTGGCATGCCTGCTGTCATGTTGTTATTGATGGCATAATGCTGGCCACCATCAAGTCCTCTCCAGGAGAATTTTGTACACATAAGACACTTGTTTTATTTTTCACGTTTTGTCAGATTCGTAGGATGCCTTTTCTTTTTCCACGTTCAATCACTGTGGAAGAACTTGACCCATTATAATGTAGAAAATGCTGGATGCCAGCAAGCACCAGGTCAGTGGTTGCTCCCTGGGTCATCCCAAGTTGTCCAGACAGCCTTGCAGGCAGTGAGTAGGTGCTCAATGGGTATCTGTTGAATAAACAAGCAGTGTGAGGCCCCGTCAGGAACACTGGCTCTTGCCTGCTTGGTGGCCATTGAAGGGGAAAGCCCTTCAGGTCTCTCATTTCACCCTCTTCATCTGTCCACCAAGGGCCTCGGCTGGACGATCTATCAGAGCCTCTTCTGAATTGCTGATGACTGTGAATTGCCAGCATCACGCTCACTTACTTACATCACATCTCGTTTACTCCTCATAGGCAGTGGTGGATGGAAAACAACTGTCTCAAAAATTCTCCACCACTTTCATTCACGATCCTCCCACCAGCGCCCACTTTTAAAGTCAGTACAAATGTCATCTCCCTGGAGCCTCCTGAACATCCTCCAAGGAGCCTTTTTTTGCAGGGCTTGGATGAGCCTGTGCAACAGGGCTCCAGGCACAGCATCAAATGTGATCAGTTGACTCCTGGCTGCTGCAGTCACAGACATGTGTAACAGACATTTAAGGGGGCACCAAGTGCTCCAAGAAAAAGACAGCCGAGAGCACGTGAGGCTTCCTCAGCATGGAGACTAAGAGCTGGTGGGTAAGTCTCAGAGCCACGCTGAGCTCCCCGCACTGAGCGTGACGCTGCAGCCCCCAGCCAGCCCCAGCCGCCCCAGACCCAGTGAGCCCTGTCATTGTTCCCTTGATCCAGGGGGAAGTAAGACCACTGACGCTGAGGAATTTGTCCCAAAGTCACATCAGTACTCAGAGGCAGGGCCAGGACTCACACCCAGCCAGCTGGCTCCAAAGGCCCCTCCCCCACCCCACCTCCACTAGACTGGGCAGTTCCAGCTCCACAGTTAACCATGTGAGTGAATCAGCAAATAGGAGGCTACCTCTAGTAACTCAGTTAACATGCTGACTTTCCAGAGAGACCTGACGTTGCTTTAAAATACATATATATATATATATATATATATATATATTAGCAGCTGCATTTTCAAATTAACCCAGTGCTACTTTTCTGGCCATATAGAAGCTCAAAAAGTTTGCATCACTTTAAAAAAGTGACTGTCTTCACGTTGCACACAGGATTTACTTAATGACAGAGCTAGTTCCACGTAAACAAAGACCATGGAGTGACGGTTTACATGACACTGAAATAGCCAGGTCTTCCCAGAAGTCAGGAGGGAACAGTTTGGTTAATATGTGCTGCTGCTGCTTTTTTTTTTTTTTGAGTGTCCAATAAGTTGCTCTGCATGGGGGTTTTTTCCCCTAGAGATATTTGTAAACAAACAAATGCGTCTCCAGTTCTAATGAAAAGTTATTGTTTAATTTTTTTTTTAAGGTTCAGGTTCCCCTTCTTCAGTTACTACGGGCAACAAAATATCCCTGAAATGAAATGACTCATCTTCTAGTCAATTTTTTAAAAATCTTACTTCTTCTATTTAGGAAAATTTTTTTAAAGTTTAATGGCAAACAAAAGCTGTCTAAGGCACCTTAAGAACAGACTATACAGAGGACTCATAAATACACAAGTTTGGTCTTTTCTAATACTTTTTATTTCTTGTGTAGTATGCATGCTAAAATGATTCCTAACAAAGTTGAAGTAAGTGAAATATGTTTAGGTGGTATAACTACATAAATTATAAGATAATTTCAGTATACCTAGAGATTACAGTGTTACAGATGCTTCAGCATTATTTATGTATAAAGTGTTGGTCATTCCTTTAATAACATTCATGTAAATTCCTAAAGCATCATGCATTGCCTTCTATCAGGGGCCGTGTCAGCTAACAGTCTCCACTGGACTCTGTCAGTAGGGACATGCTTCCTGCTCCCGAAAAATGGACCCCCATGGAAAATCATATTGTTGGACGAGGGTTCTAGGTTTTTTCAATGAGAGAACTGTCTTATATCTAAATGTGATTTTTATGTATTTGTATGTAATATGTATATGTAATTTCACAGATCTTTATCCAAGATCACTCATCATCCTTTTCATCAAGAAGATTTTGGCCACAACATTTTGAATAACCTGTTTTCATTTTTTGGATGGAGGAAGAAGTGATAAATGAAAATATGAACATTTCTATTTTGTTGTGGGCTCATCTCTTCAATATAAATTATTCATAAAACCCTTTTCTTAGCACTGTTGTTTTCTCTAGTGAGTCAGAAAAAAACAGAAACCACTGTCTACTCCTTTCCCCTGTAAACAAAAAGCCAACACAAAAAAATAGCATTCAATAAGAGAAGACTTAAGTATGGCCTGTCAGACAGATGACAGCTTGTTTGTAGAATGATCAGAGAGGATTCAGCTGCACATTTGAAGGAAGAATTGAGAGTGCACGGCTATACCATGGGGAGAAAACAGAGTTAATCTTTCTACTGTGTCATTTATTTATTCAACAAATATTTATCCAGTCCTTACTGTGTATCAGGCTCTTTCTCTGTGATGAGGAACACGATGGTGAGCAATCAGAGAAAGTGGCTACCCCGACTCTCCCATCTCCTGGAAACAAATGAAATTCTGCCCCCCCACCGCCCTCCCACCTCTATTAGCAATGCCACCAGCCCCACTAGGATCATTCCAAGATACACCTCAAAGCACGTTTTCAAACAGCACTTTCTTCAGTAAATGTACATTGTGATTCAGCTGGTCTGGGTGGGGCCTGGGTATCTTTTTTTTTTAAAGCTCCCCAAAGTTAGTGGGATGTCCAGCCACATGCCCTGCTGAAAAGTTGAAAACCTCTCACCATTGCTTCTTCCCTGGGTTCTTGCCTCAGCAGTGGTTTCTTTAGTTTCATTTGACCCAGAATATACTTCCCAGTGTTCCAGAAAAAATAGAGTTGGAGCCAGTGAATTACGAGCAGCTGCCAGACCTTCACCATGCCAACCAACCTCTCAGCCCCCAAGGAACAGTGGCTGAGGGGGCGAGGGGTGTGGGCCATAAACACAGTGCTGAGGGCATACGGTTTTCACTGATCCCAGCCACCCTCCTTAGCCACCTGCTACAGTGTTTGGTTAGAAGCGTGGATGAGAGTCCAGGCCCGCTGGGGGAAAATGCCAAAAATCTGTCTGTCTTATAATTAAATGACCATAACCAAATTGTATCCTACTTACTTTGGTGAGTGGCAAAAACAACTTAAAAAATTATGTAAAAACCATCTATTCCCTTTTACTCAGAAATTTAGGCAGTATCTAGGTATCTAGTATCTAGGTTTAAAGAACATAGGGATTTATTTTTAGGGACTATTGGCTAGAGTGAATGCTACAATATTAAAATAGCATTACATAATAAAAATCAATGAAGTAGTAACATTTCAAGTTTAAGTTGGAGTTATCTGTTTTAATTGATCAGTTACTTGGTGTGATTACACATGCACACACACACACACACACACACACACACACATATAATTCTTACAGTGCTTTCATGTCCTGTAACTAGCTTTGGTTGACAATACAATTTAATTAATGGTGGCTTATAGTTTAGGTTGATGATACACCATAAACTGTGATAAACCTCGCAGGATGGGAAAGCTTCACAGTAAGCGTAGTGTGGTCTCAAAATCCTGACGTGTAACTTATTGACTGAAAACCTCTTATGTTCTCTTAAAGCTGGTCCATAAGTCCCAGGACATACTCCATGCAGCATGTGAAGTGAAAGTCGCTAAGTCGTGTCCAACTCTTTGCGATCCCATGGACTATACAGTCCGTGGAATTCTCCAGGCCAGAGTACTGGAGTGGGTACCCTTCCCTTCTCCAGGGGATCTTCCCAACCCAGAGATCAAATCCACGTCTCCCGCATTGCAGGCAGATTACCAGCTAAGCCACAAGGGAAGCCCAAGAATATTGGAGTGGGTATCCTATCCCTTCTCTTGCGGATCTTCCCGACCCAGGGATTGAACCGGGGTCTCCTGCATTGCAGGGGAAATCTTTACCAACTGAGCAATGAGGGAAGCCCATACAGTACTTTTAAAAATAGAATCTTGGGACTTCCCTGGCTGTCCCGTGGTTGGGACATCATGCTTCTACCACAAGGGACAAGTGTTTGGTCTCTGGTTGAGGAACTAGGATTACACATGCTTCATGTAACCAAAGAACAGGGGAAAAAAATTTTTTTTAATAAAAATAGTCTCTACACTCCAAGAGCTTCCAAATGACGCAAAACTGAGTTTACATTTTAAGTTGCTGCCTGGGTGAGCAAAGGGGAGAATATGAGTCAATAAAAACCTCTAGAATCTATTCGGATTTGTCAGAGAACACTAATACGTCTTCCTCATTCATTCATTCCTTCAGCAGACATCAGCCTCTTGGGTTTGTGAGGTACAAGGATGAACAAGACAGATAGGGTCCCTCCCTTCTGTTCCCGAACTTAAGACTACTTCAGTTTTGTTTTCCTGCAGAAGAGGGTATGCCAGGGTGCCCAGCAACACCAGAAGCAGGGTCCAGACAGGGATTTAGCCAATGTCTAGCCCCAAGAAGTGAAGTAACAGTGGAGAGAGTTTTAATTTGGCAGTATTGTCCATCTGGGGTCAAACAAATGGAAAGACTCTTTGTAAAATTCAAACTATACTGTTTAAATAGCTGAAACTACTGGCACTTAGGGAGAGGAGGTTAGTTCTTTGAGGCACTGTGCTGTTTAGGAGATAAGCAGGTGTAGGAAAGCGTTCTTTATGGTGTTTAGAAATATTGTGGATGTTGATGGCATTACCCACAACCTGATCCTCCCTGGAGCCTAGTGAGAGGAGACATCGTATTTCACCCGTGTTCTTTCATCAGCTTCAGTGGGTTCGCTGACTCAAGAACCAGTGTTAAGAGATGCTATAAACTGCCTGCTAAAATATTCCGATAGTCACTTAAGACTCCACCAAACACTCCCTGGGAACAGGGTGCTAAGATGGACACATTAGCTCTTTCAGACCCAAGAGACTGCCTCCAGTGGACCCGACAGTGCCTGGAAGCAGAGTAGCTAGGCTGACGCCATAAGCTGTTCAACCCTGAACAGCAGAGCCTCCAAGATTGGGAAGGAAGCCTCAGATGGATTATTCAGTCCAATTCAATTTCATGTACAGAGCAAGGTTAATAAAACAACTAGTATAAGTTACCCGCTTCATCAAGAGATCATAAACAGAGGACCTAGGATGTTAGACAAAGGGTCCCAGGGCATGGCAACTTAAGGAACACAGATAACTGAGCCTTACTGCTGCCAGCATTGAATCTTTGGGAACGAAGGTTCTGAAATGATGTAATAAATCTCTGGTAAATACTTGAGCCTCTCCAGATTTAAAAAATAATAGAATCCATTTTACTGATCTACCAACAAGACAGTCTAATCCTCAACTTGGTTTTACAGGAATTTTATAAATGTACCATCAAAGAAAAAAGTTTGAGTTCTTGCTGTTTCTGGTACGGAATAAAAATAGTCCATAGGTTTTTGGTAAAGGAGGTTGCTGCTCTTGTATTCGTAACTGAAACCGAAAGTGAAGTGCAGAAATATAAATGAGGTTTTCAGTCCATTCTTTAGACTTGAGGTTTGAACACTCCCAACTGCCTGTCCTTCTCCTGTCATTAGTGGCAGAGCACATTCTTGGGCAATGATGTCAGCGGAGGACTCTGAATACTAATGGAAAATCACATTTTGTCCTTCTGAATTGTTAATGCAAAATGTTATTGGCTATAATCAGCTATAATAGATGGAGGAAAACTAAAAAAAAAAAAAAAGATTACATACCTTCCATGATCGCATTCTCCACTGGGTGGTCAGACAATACAACAGTATTTTTAAAGGGGATTTTCAAAAAAAAAAAAAGGAGGTGGGATTTTCCTGGAAAATCCAACCGTTTTACTATACAGAGAAATCTAAACTTTTATGAATTTTATACTGTAGAGGCACTGAGCTCCTAACAGGACACAAAAAACACTAGGGCTATTTTTTTTTCTCTCCCGATTCACAGTTAACTTACTGCTGCTAAAACTTAGAACAAGAAATACTCTCATCGGATAAAAAAATGTAGTTGTGGGTTTTCTGCTTCATGAGAAAAGGAGAAGAACAGTCCACACTTATGAGATGCAATTCCAGAGTGCAGACAAAATCATTGATTTATATGTCTTTATTAATTAGGTAGTGGCAGTCAAATAAATTAATAAAGGTATATAAAAGGTCAAATAAAATGAGTTTGCTTCCCCTGTAGAATATTTCACTTAAATTTTAAGTTTCAGAAGCTCAGTTTTCGTATGTCCACTTGTTTTGATGCACTATTACTTTTCTAAGTGCATTCTTTACATAAGGTGAACTTACCTTGGATTTCCAGGCAGCCAATGTAATTTAGGTGAGATCGATAATCATTTTTAACAAAACTGGATTGTTTTTGGACTAGCACTCCTATCAAGAACAGTTAGAAAACCTGAACAGAACGTAAAAATAGATTCTAAGTCATCAGAGCTCTCCCAAGGCAGTGGGTTCCATTAGAGCTAAGATATGAAAGAAGTCGGAAGCCTTCTCAATCTCTGGCAAGAATCCAGTGATGTACTCCCAGCCCAGCTGTCTGCCAAAAACAAAAGCAAGTCTTCTCTGTAGGAAAATAACATCAATGCAGCAGCTCCAATTGTCACCAAAACTTTTATGCATACCATCTGGCACTCATTCAGAAATAACCAGAGCATAGGAGAAATCTGGCCAGTTCTGCTCTAACCACGTGACCAAAACAAACATCACTGAAAGTGTGACTTTGAAATTTTGTGCCTCCTTAGTGATGCCCTGAGAAGGACACGGCATCAGTTAGTTCTCTAGTATTTCTGCCAAATGAGTGTAACCTTATTCTAATCAAACAGTCAAACCCAAATTGAGAAACCTGTACAACAAGTGACTCATACTAGTCAAAATTTGTCAATGTTATGAAACGAAGGTGGAGGCAACATTTCAAAATAATGAAAACGAAAAGAGATGTAACAACGAAATGCAAGATGTGACCCTGGATGGATCTGAGAGAAGGGAAAAATATAAAAGATTCAAGCAAAGGACATCAATAGGGCAATTTGAATACAGATTTTTGTACTTTAGACAAAAGTGTATCGGTGCTAAATTTCTTTTTTTATTAAGGTATAATTGACACAAGACATTATATTTGTTTCACCTACACAACATAATTCAATAATTATATATATTGAGAAATGATCATCACACTAAGTCTAGTCAATGTCCAACAGTACATACTTACAGAATTTTTTTCTTGTAATGACAACTTTGAAGGTCTACTCTCTTTGCTACCAGGCTTCTCAGGTGGTGGAGTGGTAAAGAATCTGCCTGCCAATGCAGGATATGCAAAACATGTGGGTTTGACCCCTGGGTCGAGAAGGTCCCCTGGAGGAGGAAATGGCAACCCATTCTAGTATTCTTGTCTAGAGGATTCCATGGACAGAGGAACCTGGCGGGCTACAGTCCATGAGGTTGCAAAGAGTCGGACACAACTGAGCACACAGCATACTCTTTGCAACCTTCAATTACATAATATAGTTCACTATAGTGGCCAGATTCTTTATTACATCCCCATTAATTATTTCATAACTAAAGTTTGTAACTTTTGATGCCCTTCATCCATTTTGTCCAACACCTCCCTCCCACCTGCACTAGAAACCACTAACCTTTTGTCTGTATCTATGAGCTTGGTTTTTATTTTTGTTTTGTTTTAGACTCCATATATAACTCATAAGGTATTTGTCTTTGCCTAAATTACTTCACTTAGCATTATTCTAAGGTCCATCCATGTTGTTGCAAAGGGCAAAATTTTATTTTTATGACTAAATATTAATAATATTTCATGGTATATATGCCTGTGTGTGTATCACATTTTATCTATTCATCTTATGATGCTGGAGAAGACTTGAGAGTCCTTTGGACTGCAAGGAGGTCAAACCAGTCAATCCTAAAGGAAATCCACCCTGAATATTCATTGAAAGGACTGATGCTGAAGCTGAAGCTCCAGTACTTTGGCCACCTGATGTGAAGAGCCGGACTCACTGGAAAAGCCCCTAAGGCTGGGAAAGATTGAAGGCAGGAGGAGAAGGGGATGACAGAGAATGAGATGATTGGATAGCACCACCGACTTGATGGACATGAATTTGAGCAAATTCTGGAAGATAGTGACGGACAGAGGAGCCTGGCGTGCTGCAGTCCATGGGATCACAGAGAGTCAAACAAGACTCAGCGACTGAACAACAGCAACAGTGATGGACACTTAGATTGTTCCACACCTTGCCTGTTGTGAATAATGCTGCAATAAACATGTATCCTCTCAAGTCAATGTTTTTGTTTTCTTCAGATGAATTACCAGAAGTGGAAGTGTTGGATCTTCTGGTAGTTTTTTAAAATTTTTTGAGGAATGTCCACACTGTTTTCCATAGTGACTTCACGAATTTATATTCTCACCAACAGTGCACAGGGGTTGGTTCCCTTTTCTCCACATTTTCACCACTTTTGACAGAATGCATGGGCATCTCCATTTCCCAACAAAAGAAAGAGTTTACACTCTATTAAAATGCCTGGCTACCTTTACTGGATAAGAAACATGAATTAGAACACTCTGTCAAAAGCATATTAATTTCAGTATATTGGATTTTTATAAATCATGGCTAAATGATTACCACTTAACTGTATCTCTACCTACTAAATAAGACTTGTGCCAGATCGAGTATTCTGCCTGATTCA